TTTCTCAGGTGGGCCTGTCACGCTCCGGCGGGGGGCGTGGTGGGTGGGGGTGGGGTGGGCTCCGGGTACGGCCGAGGCCGGGAGACCCGTGCGGGGTGCCTGGGGTCTGTGTGGGCGGGGGGGGGTGTGGAGCCACGCGGGGACCGGGGAGGGGGGCTGGGGCCGGGGCTCGGGGGGCAGCGCAGGGAGTTTTGAACCTCCCAGAACTTGGCAGGGCGTGAGCCGGTGTCTGGGAGTGAGACTGGCTGCTGGGCGGTGCTTGTGGGGTGCTGGGGGGGGGGTGCGCCCGCCCTCCCGCCAGTTCTCGTCTTTGGGGTGAATGATGAGTGTAGGGCTGGGAGTTTGTGGGTGCTTGTGCACGCACGTGTGTGTGGGGGGGGTGTGTACGGGCCGGCCTCGAGGTGTGTGTGTGTGTGTGTGTGCACTGTTGGGTGTGGGGGGAGAGCGCCCCTCACCCCACACTATCCAGCTGCCTCTCTTCTTCGTCCCTTTCACCGAACAGGGCATTCAGGACCCTCCTGGTCTCCACCTCCCGGTCGCCATGGCTGCGGGGAGGGGGGAGGGGGGAGGAGACGGTTGGAGCCAGCCCTCCCTCCTGCCCCTGCTGCTCCAGCTCACCCCCCCCCCCACCTGCCCTTTCTCTCCCTTCCACAGGCTGGGCCCCATCCCCTGCTGCTCTGGAGGGGGGGGGGCAAGGGAGCAGGGGCCGGAAGATGGTGGCCAATGAGGAGGGGGGGAGAGGGGAGAACTTGAGCCAGGGCCTCCCCTCCCCCATTTCCTCCCCTGTCTCTACACCAGCTTTCTGGAAGGAGCTGGTGGGGAGGGGAGGGGAAGGGGTGATGGCTCCTGGGCCCGAGGTGGGGGAGGGGTCCTGCTGGCTGGTGAGTCACCGGGGCCCCCACTCCTGAGGAATGAGTTGTGGGGTTGGGGAGGGATGGCGCTGAGAGACTCCGAGGGTCCCTGTTTCTTCTTCCCTTCACTCCCCGCGGGGAGAGATCTGGGGAATAATTGTCCCGAGCTTTCTGGGTCGCCCGGTCTTGGCCCCTCTGCCTCCTGTTGGCCGGCTGCATTTCCAAGCAGGCTTGCCCAACCCCAGGAGCAGAAAGGCCAGGCTGCTGACCTTAGCCAGGCCTTGGTTTCCGTCCATTACCACTGTGCACTCTGTGCAGTGAGGCCCAAGCTTTTCAGATTTACAGGAAAAACTCGGCCTGGGAAGGCGAGAGAGAACTTCCGACTCCTTCCTGAGTGTGCGGGGAGAAGGCCAGAAGGAAAAGCCCAGAGCTCCTCCGTGGAATTCTGTCCGCCATTTCTCAGGCTGGCTGTGGAGGGGAGAGGCGGAAGTCTCCCAGCGGCTCTTCCATGGCCTGGGAAGATTGCATGGGTCAGGGCACAGAGGGATCATCCTTTGGCCTCTTCTTGGGCTGCATTTGGGGGTCACCAGGTCAGACCTGTACCTGACTTTCTGGGAATAGTGGCTCTAGCTGGAATGCTGGAATGTGCCACGCTAGAGCTGTGCGTGGTTCTGAGCTTTTAAACGACCAAGTGTCCTTCCAGGATTGGCATCTGGCTTCAGATTTCAGTCAGTCGCTATTGTCCTGGGATTAATGTCCTGTGCTGGGGTAGACTGGGGGAAAACTGCTCAGTCTTAGTTCAGTTGTTGAGTCAGCAAACTGGATAGAAACCTCAGTTTGTAATCCCACTCCCAGTGGAAGATTATCTGCATTACAGTACAAGAGAAGAAATTATTCTTACCATTTTGCTTAATGCCAAATCTGTAAGTTGCTTTGAAAACCTCAGGAGAGGTCAAGTATGGCTTAAGTTGCTTTCACCCCTGCTATCTAGAAGCTTCTCTCTTCTACCTAGGGACCTGTAACCATACTTCCTCATTCTCTGATCTTAGAGGTGCATCTCCTCTTAAGATTATCACCTTGAAACATTATTGAAAGTTACAAGGAAGCCAGGTACCTGTGGCTCATGCCTATCTAACTCAGGAGGGTAAGATCTGAAGATTGAAGTTCAAAGCCAGCCCAGGCAGGAACGTTCATGAGATTAATCTCCAGTTAACCACCGAAAAGCTAGAAGTAGAGCTGTGGCTCAAGTAGTCGGGCATTAGCTTTGAGCAAAAAGAAGCTCAAGGTCAGTGATTGGGCCCTGAGTTAAAGCCCTAAGACCAGCATTTAAAAAAAGAAAACGGAAAGTTAGGGTCTCGGTGGAAAGCTCTCTTCTAGAAAGGCTGGTGACAGACATGCAAATCTAGAGAGGGGAAAAAAAGAGCTCATGAGGGTAGCCTTCAGACTCTTGAGATTTTTACTAGTTACTTCCCAGTATCCCTTCAAAGAAATGTGAATTTCCTGGGAAGAAGGGTGGATTAACACTAGCATGGAAGAGGAGAGAGGAAGGTTGTACAAAGGCAGGCTGTGAGCTGGGTGGGCCAGGGTCTGGGAGAAGGGGTGAGGAGGCGGGGCCGGCATGCCTCTGCTGCTGGCCAGAGCTCTTTTCACATTGTGCTACTGTCTACACCTGTCACGAGCAGTGCAATGTTAAAAGGGCATTGGCCAGGTAGTGCTACCCAGCGCCAGCTGCCTCCTCAGCATTGCCATTTCTCCTCCTAGCTGGGCACCAGCCAGCTACCTTGGTGGGGACTTGGGGAAGCCTTGGTTGTGCTAGCAAAATAGCTCCCCTGTATACAGCCGCTTGTGTGTACAGGGCCTATGCTAGGCATTGCACAGGATGTGAACCCTCTTTTCTTTGGCAGGTGGCATTCCCATTTGACAGATGAGAAGACTGAGGGACAGAAGGTTTAAGCAGATTGGCTGAGGTTTTTTTTTTTTTATGATCACTTTTACGTTAAGCGTAACCCTGTTTTAAGTCCAATGGTGCATCCATCTTTTTGGAGGCCTGTCTAGAGAGATTGGACTTAAGATTCTCTTAGGGGAAGATCTAGAAGAGAGAGGGAAGGAAGGGGGTGGAAGTTCTGGTGCCATCTGCTGGTCATATAAAGGTATCAAAGTCTTGAGTCGAAGGATAAATGATAGTGGTAGCTTTGTGGCAGAGGACGGGCTCCTGGGCACCGTTTACTCTAGAAAGTGGGTGGAGAGGTATGTGGTGGGAGAGTCATGAGTCCTCAGAGAAGGATTTCTGTGATAGATCGGGGGTCCACAGGAAATGAAAAGGGTTGCTCAAAAAAAGAAAAAAAGCTTCCCCAGGGGAGAAAGACCCGTGATACGCCACCCCCATACCTACAACTCCTCCCTGGCTTTTGGAACACGGAAGGAGGTCTCCTCTCCTGCCTTCACTTGCAACCCTCAGCACAACTCCTCTTGGCCACAAGGAATTTGATAGTGAGCTTTCTTAAGAGCAGACCTATCTGGACACCTAAGAGTTGGGTCACCAGGTGCTGATGGATCACATCTCTAATCCAAGCTGCACAGGAGGTTAAGATCTGAGGATTGCAGTTCAACACCAGGTCAGGCAAAAAAGTCTGAGACTTTTATCTCCAAAAGTCAAAGGTGGAGGTGTGGCTCAAGTGGTAAAGCACCAGCCAGCCTTGAGTGAAAAACCCAAGTGAGAGCAGGAAACTTGAGTTCAAGCCCTAGGGCTGGCACACAGAAATCAGAAAAGAAAATGACTTTAACAAGTTGTCTCCTGTAGAGTCCAAGTAACCCTCTTAGAACTGGAGAACCCTCAGTAGATGGAGAGGCATATTTGGGAACTTTCAAGAAGTGGCTAGGTTTTTGTAGGGCAGAAACTAGGGGATAGATCAGCATCCCCCAGCCTCAGTCCTCAGAAGAGTGATGTGTCATCCAGACTTGCTCTTCTCCCCTTTTCCTTCCCTCACCTGCGTGATATCCAGGTCTCTGTCCTGTCTAGATAGTCTCCTTTCTGATGCAGACAGCACCATTTAAGGGCCCTTTACAACTTCAGTCTCTTGAACAGACTTGATGATACAAGAGTTTTCCCTGTCTACTTGGGCTGAAATGTAAGCTCTTTCCAGTTTAACTTTTTGGGGGTAAGAGAGGGCTACTAGGGCTTGAGTGCAGGGTCTAGCCCTTTTTTTTTTTTTTTTTTTTTTTGGCCAGCTCTGGGTCTTGAACTCAGGGCCTGGGCTCTGTCCCTGAGCCTCTCTGTGCTCAAGGCTCTACCACTTGAGCCACGGTGCTACTTCCGGCTTTTTCTGTTGATGTGGTCCTGAGGAATCGAGCTCAGGGCTTCACGCACTACCTATTAAGTCACATTTCTAGCCCCTGCCGGGGCCCTCTTATTTGCTTTTTTGCTCGACTGGTGATCAACCACTTTAGCCGCGCTTCCATTTCTGGCTTTTTTGGTGGTTAATTGGCAACAAGAGTCTCATGCACTTTCCTTGCCCAGGCAGGGCATCGTTGAGCCCTCATCCTCTGATCTCAGCTAGGATTACAGGTGTGAGCTACCAGCACCTGGCCAAAAGATCTCTGATGGGTCCAGTAATGGTAGGTGCCTCTCAAACAGGAATTTCACAGCACTGCCTCCAAAATGCCCATTGTGTCACAGGGCTAACATGAACAATGCCACCTTCAGCTGTTTTCCACTTCCACCCACCTCGACCAAAAGATTCTCCTTTTAGCCTTTAAGTGTAGAGATACACTTAAAGCCAACCAGAATATCATGGAACCAAGGGAGAGAAAAGGGGTCTCAACGGGACTTGAAGGAAGCCCTTATTTTGAGATGAGTCATTTTTGAGCTGCCCAATCCTGGATTCAGGCAAAAGTAAGACTTGTTCACAAGAATTCTCAAAGCCACGGGCGATTTGGGGTGCTTTAGCTTGAAAACTCTTAAAAATCCCATCCCTTAGACAAAGCCAAACATAACCAGTCTTAGTGAGACCTGAAGTGGTGGGGCCACCTGTGAAGTGACTGCTGCCCCCTAGTGGTATAGAAGAGATAGGCCCTCGTGGTTGCTGGCAAACGGGGGACCAGTATTGGGTGCATACAACAAGGAAAGTCAGAACAGCTCCTCACGGGTGCTTCCCCCTTTTTATTAAAAATAGAGCCAAACACTTTATGTATCATACAAAAGTTTCATTCGCTGGTGGCAGCCACGGGAAAGGCCCCGGTACCACTGAAGATCCACCTCCCCACCCAGGGGACTGGGTCCCAGGGAGCAGTGCTTGGGCCTTGGAGAAAACCCCAAGAAGACTGCTTTCTGGCAACAGCCAGCAAAGGGGTGGGGCTGTTCCAGAGCGGCCTTCCCCACCCCACCCAATGGCAAAGGTTAGATACTCCAAAGTGCTTCTTTAGTGCCAAGGTAAACTAATAAGTAGAGTGAAATGAAACCCCTGTAATTTTTACTTAACGGGGTCTGGGATTTGGGTCTTTACTTCCACCCATCCCCCTCCCCCACACACCTGAGTCCTTTCTCCAAAATCAAAGATGGAGGTGGGGGCGGTCTGGGAAACTGACCGTCCCCTCCCTCAGATCCTCAGATTTTGGGTCTCCTTCCTGGTCTCGTATAGTTAGTCTCTTGGTGTCTGAGGCCAAAATTTTACTTCAGAGCCTAAGATCTCTTTTCTCTCTCTGCTAATCAATGGCTTAGGATCTTCTAGCCTCAGCACCCAATATTCATCTTGTTCTTTTTTTTTTTTTTCCCCCTCCTAAGGTCCTTTCTGCCTGAATTCACTCCCTGCCATCACTTCTATCAGGCCTTAGGAACAAGGGACCGCCACCATTTCCTCTCCCCAGTTCTGGGTTTTGCTCTGACCGCTGCCCACTTCCTCCTATGCCTTGAACACCCCTGGGGTTCTACCAGACCCCTGTGCCAATGGGGTCCTGGGAGTAATGTAGAGGCAGGGAAGGCGTTGGTTGGAGCCGGGTTTTTCCCCCAGGGGTGGGGCAGTACTCATGCTGGTATGGACTGCATGGCAGGGCCGTGGGGCAGGTGTGTGAGGAGGGTGGGGCATGCGGAGGAAGGGCATGGCCTGCCTGAGCCCCTCAGTCCCAGCCGTTGTCCTTCACCATGTGTGACATCTCAATGATGTATTTCCCTTCTTTGTATTTCTGGCTTGTCTCAAAAGCTTGTTCCTGATGGAGAGGGAAGCAATGGGCATCGGACAAAGCGGGTCCCTGCAGCTCCCACAACCGCCTCCCACCTAGGCCAGCCCAGTTCCGAGTTCCCTCTGGACCTTGAGAAGACCTGACAAAGATCTGACATGCTCAGTGGGGCCTGGGCTGGCCACTTTTCAAAGATGGCCCGTGTTCCTTCCACCCAAGGAAGTACTTACATATTTCCAACCCAGCGTGGTCTTGCAGCTTTCGCAGAAAATGTCAGCTACCGAGTGGAGCCCTGTGAGCAGGAGGCGCTGTTCCGCTGGCCCACAGCCCACGTTGACCCTGTCTCAGGAAACAGGAAGGACGCAGCACCCAGTAGGGTTGCTCTGGTCAGTCTAGTCCCCAGACAGACCCAAAGGACTCTCATCTAGAGAGGTAGAGCCAGGCCTGGTGGCTCATGCCTGTAATCCTTACAACTTGGAAACCTGAAATCTGAGGATTGTGGTTTGAAGCCAAACCAGGCAGACAAATTCAAAAGACTCTTATCTCCAATTAATTAGCGAAAAAGCTGGAAGTGGAGGTGTGACTCAAGTGGTAGGGTGCCAGCAATTGAGAAAAAAAAAACAAAAAACAAAAAACCAAGCTAGTCAGGCATTGGTGGCTCATACCAGTAAGCCTCACTGCTCAAGAGGCTGAGATCTGAGGATTACAGTTCCTTGAGACTCTTATCTCCAATTAGTTAACCAAAAAAAAAAAAAAAAAAGCCAGAAATGATGATGTGGCCCAAAGTGGTAGAGCATTAGCTATGAGCACAAAAGCTCAGGGACAGCACACACACACACACACACACACACACACACACACACACACACACAACTGAGTTAAAGGTGAGTTGTAAGTTTGAGCCCCAGTACTGGCACAAGAAGAAAAAAAAAGAAGAGCACTAGAAGCTGCTTCCTCCGGCAGTCTACCGTTTTATAACTAGTGCCTGGGTCTTTTTTTTTTTTTTTTTAGTGTTTTGATTTCAGTACTGCCTGAACAACCCACAGAACTGCAGGCTAATGTTTCTGAACCCCTTTGAAAAGAGGAGACAAGGCCTGAGAGGACTTGAACGCCCACCCCCTTTCCCCACAGAGGAAACGCGGTCACATGCGGTCACACGCACAAGCACACACACATACCACCCATACACACGAAGAAAGAGGTAGACTCACACGGAGTTAAACAGGTAGGCTCGGCCATGGCTCCCTTGGAAGGACTGTGGAGACATAGGACAGACAATGACCACTGGGCAGCCCTCCACCCACTGCCTGAGCGAGCCCCCAGCTGAGCTGTGTTGGGGGTGGGGTGGGGAAAAGAGGTGCATTCCTGCCTCACCCCCAGCCTGCTGAGAGAAAGGCCGGGAGTGGAAGGTTCCCCTGCTTCAGCATACCTTGGAAATAAGCTCATCGTGTTTGGCCAGATGTGCGCGGCAGTGGACACAGCTGTACGTGCGGTGGCAGCGGGGCAGGTAGCTTCGGAAGGTCTTGGTGGGTAGACAGGCAGGGGCTGGGCCGGGGTCGCAGCTGGGCATGACGGGTTGAAGCACGATGCCCTGGCGGGCTGGAGGGGCTGGTGCTGTGCAGCCCCCACAGAGCCGGTCGCAGGTGAAGCAGCGGAGCAGGTTGGCTAGAGCCGTGTTTCAGGGCAGGAGAAGTGTGGGGGGGCTGCCCGGCCAGGGCCCCCCCAGACGAGAACCAGATAGAAATGGAAGTGATCTAGGAAGACAGGGAAAGGGCATCAAGGAGTTGTGACCTCATGAGGTAATGGGGGGGGGGGGGTGAAGGAGTTCAGATCACCTCTGTCTCTGCCTCCCCCCATGGCTACCTCAGTTTCCTCCTGTTCCCATCTCCATGGCTCCAGAGTCTCATTCTGCCCCCCTCTCTCTCTCTCTCTCTCTCTCTCTCTCCTGGGAGGTAGTAGCCGCCACCATTTTCCACTGAGAACAGCCCGCTGGCACCATTGCTACTATGGGAGCAGTACCACCTTCTAGGGCTCTCCTGTGTTCGCTTTTCCATGAGGATCTGCACCCCAAAGCCCAGGTAGGCCCCTGTGGCTCAGGGCCTTTTCCAAGTTAGAGCTGCCCCCATGAGATGCTTTCTTCTTTTTCTTTTCTTTTTTTTTTAATGACATCCATTTACAATTCAATTTGCTCCTGAAGAAACTTCATGGGGAGTGAGGACAGGGGCCGTGCTGTAGGTCCTGGGATACATGAGAACTTTATAGAGGTCTCCTTCAGTTCCAAAGCCCTCTTTTGTGGCTGCTCCTCTAGCCTGCATCCTGGGCTACTGTTCGTGGCTGGCATGGGGGAGCCTGTGTCTTCTCAGCCTTCTGGACCATTTGTTCTGTCTTCTGTCTCTCTCCTCTTCTCCCTCTCCTTTCTCTTTCTTTCTCTCTCGGGACTATTTACTTGCCCCATTAATGACAGGCACTCAACCCTAAGAGAGAAAATATCTTTTCCTTGGTCAAATTTGCCAACTGGACCAATGGGAAATGAACAGCACATCAGAGCAGGCAGACTCCAGAGCTGTGTGGAGCTGTGTGTATAGTATATCCACAGTAAGCAACAGAAAAGAGCAAATCCACAGTAAACAACGGAAAAGGGGCGGTGGGGGGGGGGGGAGCAAGCTCCTTATTTTTAAAGGCTGTGCTTTAGGGCATAAGGTGGGGGGGGGGATGTTTCTCTCTCCCAGGAGCTAGGTCAAAACAGCTGTCTGAAGAGAAAATGACTGCTAGGTTCTGATTAGCAATCTCGAGGAAGACGTTGGCCCCTGTGCTGTCCAATCCAAAGTGGCTGAGGTCCTGGACGCAGAGGATACGCAGGGAGGGGTGCTCTGGGGGCTCTGATAAGAGGTGAGGCACTGCTGGCTCTTTCATGGGGCCTCCTGCCCTTGGGGGTGGGGTCACCCAAGTCTCCTGCAAAGATGTCATCCGGGTCTTCTGGCCATGTTAGACACCCCCCCCCTGGGAGGGGGGCAGAGAAGGAAGCGTGGCTTTGGTTGCCAGGGCAAACAGGCTCCCCCTGTACCCCGTGAGTACAAGCGCTCTGGCTGCTCCATTCTTTTCCTGGGTCCCCAGGCAGTCTCTCCACAAAAAACAAAACACAACACAGCAACGACAACAAGCATCGTCAGTTCCAGGTCCTCTCCCCCTGGCTGGGTCCCAAGAAGAGACACCTTGAGCTGAATTCAGGGTGACATTGGGGTTCTGGCTGCAAAAAATGGATCCTCCTCGAGAGGAGATGACAGGTGAGCATCTACCACATACCTCCTTGAAAAAAGTCCTGCTTTGGAGGGCTGGGAGGTGAGGACCAGTTAAGGCCCCCCCTTCCTCCCCCCCCTCTCTCACTTGCTCCTTCCCCAGCTTCCATCTGTCACGCCTCCCTCCTTCTCCCCTAGTTCCTAGTCTAGCTCAGGAGAGGCTGCAAAGAGAGAAAAAGGCTAGGAAAATCACAGAAGGGAGAGTAGGGCTCCTTTCTTTTCTCATCTCTGATCACAAGAGAAAAGCAAATGGGCAAATGATTGGGGGGGGGTAAAAGTGAGCCCCAGTGTGAGCTGAGGCTGTCTGTACTGGGGAGGGGGGGGGGGTAGGAAAGACTGACAGAATGGACTGACAGCTGACAGCAGAGGCTGGGAGGTGGAGGCTGAAAGGAACCAGGTATGAAGCCCCAATGCATTTCCGGTGGGGAAAAGCGGGCAGGGGGGGGGGAGGGGTTGGGGGACACCTGCGCTCACAATACATGTTCTGTTCTACTCTAAGGTTTCACCCCTCCGGGGCTGGTATTTTCAGTATGGTATGGTCCAGATAATTAGCAGCGGCAGCTAGCTCCCAGGGCGGGCTTTGGGGGTCTGTACCAGCAGCAAAACAATAAACACTGATGCCTGATGCTGTAGCCAATGATGCCAGGAAAGAAGTGCGGGAATCATTATGGGAGCTTGGTGAAGGATGGCGGAGCTGAGAGAGAGAGAGAGAGAGAGAGAGAGAGAGAGAGAGAGAGAGGAGAGCAGCAGAGCCCAGGCAGCGGGGAGGGGGAAGGGAGGACAAAGGGTGGATGAATAATGCTTTTTTGCGAAGAAGAGAAAACAACACACAGCAGGAAGAGGAAATTTGCAAAAGGAAGGAAAAAAATTGATTGGGAGAAGGGCTGCCACCCTCACCTTGAAGTCTGCTCCAGAGATCTCCGTCTATCTCTCTCTCTCTGTCTCTCTCTGTCTCAATCTCCCAATCTCTCTGCTCACTCTTCTCTCTTCTCTTTTCAGCTCCTTCAAGGGGGAAAGGGGTTGGAAGGCGTTGGAGGGGGAGGGTCGTTAGGGGTTCGAGATTGGGGCTGCGAGGCTGGGCAGCTGCTGGAGGGGCCAGAGGGTGCCCCTGGTTCTGTACCTCGGTCTGTGGGTGAATGTGGCCGTGTGTTGTGGAACTGCATCATAACACTGTGAGTCATCCGTTCACCCCCCCACCCCCCCCCCCACCTCCCACGTCAGAGCAGGGCTGGGAGACACAGGAGGCGGGTTGGGAGGGAAGGAGGGGACAGGCATCCAGGGACCAGGCTTTGGGGGAGTGATAAGAGGGAGGAGGTGGGCAGAAGAGGGGGTTGGGGGGGGGAGCTGAGGAGAAGCCAGAGGAGAAGCAGGATGTGAAGTGACGGTGTCTTGGTGTTACCAAGGAGAGAGAGAACTCTAGGGAAGGACGGGGCTGGGAAGGATGGAGGGAAGGAGATAGCTAGACTGGTGTAGTGAGAGGTGGATACAGAGAGCCAGGAAGGGTGTGATTGTGTACACACACACACTCACAATTTAACAGAATACATTTTTTTTTTTTTTACTGCAGCTCAGATACCAGCCTTTACAGAAGGAAAAGAAGGCTATCCTAATCGTCATAAATGGCAAAAGGTGCTCCCAAACTGTTATTTGTACCGGACACCCTAACTTCCAAGGCTCAGTTGTATTCCTGAAGCAATCACTGATCACTTAGGACATCTGGTATGTAGAAATCCCTTAACAGTTGCCTTCAAACTGTGTTTCACAAATGGAGATACTTAACATAAGGTGCTGTAAACTTTTTTTTCTCTCTTTTTCCTTTTCTGCCAGCCCTGAGGTTTGAAGTCAGGTCCTGGATGCTGTCCCTTCACTTTTTTTGCTCAAGGCTGGTGCTCAAGGCAAAAACTACACTTTTGCCTTTTTGGTGGGAAATTGGGGCTAAAAGTCTCATAAAGTAGCCCGGTGCAAGTGGCTCATGCCTGTAATCCCAACTACTCAGGAGGCAGAGCTCTGAAGATGGAAGTCACCTGGGTGCTGTCGCTCACGCCTGCTCAAGGCAAGCGTCTACCGCTTGAGTCACAATGCCACTTCTGCCTTTTTTCTTTTTGAGTAATTATTGGAGATAAGAGTGTCATAGAGTTTCCTGCCCATGCTGGCTTCGAACTGCAATCCTCAGATCTCAGCCTTCTAAGTAGCTAGGATTACAGGCATGAGCCACCAGTGCCAGGCTGAGCACTAGTCTCGATCACAAAGAGGCTCAGGGACAGGACCCAGGCCCTGAGTTCAAGCCCCACAACTGATTTTAAAAAAATGGTTCTGGGGATACAGGTAAAATAACAATCCACAATTTGAGTATTTTGAAGACAGCACCATTAGTTTGAAACTGAGAAAAAGATCTGGGTAAAGAAAGAAGAAAGGGCTGAGCACTGGGGGCTCAGGCCTGTAAGCCATCCTAGCTACTCTGAGAACAGTGGTTCAAAACCATCCCTGGCAGAAAAGACTCTTACCTCCAACTAACCAGCAAAGAGCTACAAATAGAACTGTGTCTTCAGCGGTAGCTCGCCAGCCTTGAATGAAAAAGCAAGTGTAAGTGCTAGACCCTGAGTTCAAATTCCAGTAGCGGCGTACACACAAGGAAGAGGAGGAGGAGGAGAAGGGAAAAGAGGAGGAGGAAGAAGGGGAGATGTCTGGCTAGCAGAGGATTTGAAGAGATACTGTTAAGGGAAAAAAAAGAAGATAAATTAGCTTTTAGGACAGTGATTTAAAGTTTGAAACAGTCAAGTTTTAGCTGGCGGGGAGATTGAACACGTATGAGAACAGAGTTCTTTGGAGGTGGGGTGAAGGTGTCAGGAGTACTTGGTGAAAGAGTGAAGGTGAGGAGAAAGCATAGGTAAGCACAGATATATCTAAATAAAAAGGATTTTCTGGTCGTTGGGAGAAATTGCCTCAAAGGAGACATGGTGGAGGTGAAGAAAAAGAGCAGACCTAGGAAATGGGGTATATGGAAAAAGGGAAGGATGAACTCAAGAAGGAAATTTGCAAAGGGAAGTATGGAAGTGAAAGTTTGAAGCATGGTAAGAGCAGAGAGCCAATAATTAATTTTAAAAAATGCATGCAGGGGCTGAGAAGGTGGCTCAGTGGTAGAGTGCTTGCCCTGCATGCATGAGGCCCTGGGTTCGATTCCTCAGCACCACATAAGCAGAAAAAGCCAGAAGTGGTGCTGTGGCTCTAGTGTTAGAGTGTTAGCCTTGAGCTGAAGAGCTCAGGGACAGCGCCCAGGTCTAGAGTTCAATCCCCATGACCAACAAAACAAAAAAACAAAAACAAAAACAAAACCCCACAAATGCATGAACAGTGACTGAATGAAATACTAAGTCTGAGACCAGTGGCTCACACCTGTAATCCTACCTCCTCAGGAGGTTGAGATCTGAGGATTGTCATTGAAGCCAGCCTGAACAGAAGAGTCTGTGAAACTTACTGTAAGGTCCATTCCTGGATGGTGAGCAGACCCCGCGCCCAGTAACTGCATTACCCAGGCCACTGGGACACCTGGAAGAGGTCACATCTGCATCCCATGAGGTCACATCTGGATCTGATGTGGCCACACCTTTCTCCACCTGGTCCCACCTCCTCTTACCTGGTCCCAATTCCCTTTACCTGGACACACCTTTCCCCGCCCCTATCCTAGATAAGGCTAGCCCAGGCCTGGATGCTCTCTTTCCCAGGTATTTCCCAGGTCTCTTCCAGGTCTTTCCCAGCTGCGTGGAGGGCCAACATGGCCTGGTGCCAGCCCGAACGATGAATAAACCTACCCCTTATCTGAATACCACGTGCATGGTGCTGTTCTTACTTGGCCAGCAATTTTTAAAAACCTAACACTTACCTCCAATTAATCAGCAAAAAGCCTAAAGTAGAGCTGTGGCTCAAGTGGTAGAGCGCTAACCTTGAGCAGAAAAAGCTAAGGAATACCGCCCTAGTACCAACATAAAAAAATTAAAATTAGGTGGACATTCCAATTATAGTAACTACTGAACAGGATTCTTGTAGGGATTAAATGACTTTACAGATGTAAACCCCATAAAACAGTATCTAGCATCTAATCCTATATAACTGTTGTCATAACTGGACTCAAGACTACCTAACCCAATTTCCTTCCTAAATGAAATTGGAGATAATAACGCTGATTTCCCAGGGTGCAGTGAAACAAGATATCTGAAAAGCCTTAAAAGTTATGTCTAAATGAATGATATTGTAATAGTCTCCCTCTCACCTATATTAAACTTGCTGACATCAGATATTTTCTCTAACCATGGGTATAGTATTTAGTGACTTATGTACATTATTCCAGCCATTTTCAAAACAATTTTAAGAGGCCATGTATCATTCTTATCATCATCTTACAGACAAGAAATGACTCAAGAGAAATGAAACCTGTGGTTGGTCCAGTCACACTAAGCAAACAATATAAATCTAAGTTCATGAAATGATTATAGACATGGTCGAATCTGTTGAGATAAATGATTGACACTGTATAAAATGTCAGAGATTTATGGGGAGATGTCAGGGAACGAGGGAGAGAAAGAGTCCCTTATAAAAACTTCAACTTGGGCTAGAATGTGAGTTAGTGGTAGAATGCTTCCTACCATGCATGAGGCCCTGGGTTCGATTCCTCAGTATCACATAAACAACAACAACAAAAAATAATAATATATAAAAAATCTGGACTCAGTGGGAGAAAGGTTGGTGAGTAATGACTGAGTTATCAGTAACTGGAAGAAATAATTGGACTTTTATTTTCCTTTACTATAGGAAAAAGTTTATTGGTGCCTTCCATGTGCCCAACACCGTGTACAGAACTCTTTTCCTGCACTTTCAATACCTCTAGGTTTTCTTCTGCCCAAAGGCAGTTTTGCTCATTTCCCCACTTCCTGGCTTGCGTTCCACACAAGTTGGACATGGTAAGACCTCGCGCCTCCATCACGTTCTGACCGCCCTTCGCTTTCCTGGACAGCAGGTGCATGGAGCGAGGCCCAGCATCCTACGCGCTGGCAGGATGGGCGTGTCCGTCACGCCTCCACCCTCCCCTCACCCGCGTGCGTCACCGTGACGTCGGCACCGCGTCCATCGCCGGAGTCACGCGCACAATGCCTAAACTACAACTCCCAGAAGGCTAAGCGGCGACGCCTGTCCACCCACTCTCCCACCCTCCCCGCCCTCGCGCGGCAGCTCCGGCGCGACTACAAATCCCAAGAACCAACGCGCTCGAGTCGCCTCTTTCTACTGCGCCAGAGCGGAAGTCCGCTTATTTCCGGCGTGCAGTTTGTACCGGCGCGGTTTGTAGTTAGGCTGAGTTCCGGTGCCGGACGACTTTTGGTACAAGTGGTTTGTGCAGGTGAGATGATGAGCTCCAGAATGTTGCCTCCCTGAGGCCTGGGCAGATTTTGGTTGTACGTGGGGTGATTGGATCTAGACCTGCGGTTCCGGATCGGAAACAATTACTCACCTTCCGTGTGTGTGTGTGTGTGTGTGTGTGTGTGTGTGTGTGTGTGTTTAAATCTTACCAAGTGCTTGTTCCCCCTCCCACAGACGCTCTGTGGGCAGTGTTCTTCAGAAGTGGAAGTGAGGAAGGGCTAGTGCCACTCGACTGACAGCTGAGAAAAAGGTTCAGAGAAATGATTGTGGATACCACTTGGAGTTGCTGGCTAGATCTCCAAGTTTTTGTGAGGCCTAACTTGATGTCCTCGGCTTCTCATTCACATTGCTGACGTCTTTGTGGGGCTTAAGCTCAAGGCTTCATGCGCTCACTTGCCCTTGTTCCTTGTCCCTGGAGGCTGGTGCTCTACCACTTGAGCCACAGCGCCCTCAGATCTCAGTCTTCTGAGTAGCTGGGATTACAGGTGTGAGCCACTTTCCCCTTCTTCCCCCCCACGGGTTGCAAGTGTCTTTTTTTTTTTGGGGGGGGGGGGGTCCAGTCGTGGGGCCTGAACTCTGGGCCTGGGCGCTGTCCCTCAGTTCTTCAGCTCAAGGCTAGTGCTCTACCACTTGAGCCACAGCGCCACTTCTGGCTTATTTCTTTTTGCTTATGTGATGCTGAGGAATCGTACCCAGGGCCTCATGCATGCAAGGCAAGAGCCCTACCACTGAGCCAACTTCCCAGCCCCAAGTGTCCTTTTCTTTCTTTCTTTTTTTAATTTAATTTTAATTTTTTGTGAACATACTGTACAGAGGGGTTACAATTACATGGGCAAGATAATGAGTACATTTCTTATCAAGCATTGCAGCCTCCTCCTTTGTTTACCCTTCACATCCCTTCCCAGCCTCCCCCCCCCCCCCCCAAGTGTCCTTTTCTTTTTTTTTTGCTGGTCATGGGGCCTGAACTCTGGGCCTGGGCGCTGTCCCTCAGCTCTTCAGCTCAAGACTAGTGCTCTACCACTTGAGCCACAGCACCACTTCCAGCTTTTTCTGCTTATGTGGTGCTGAGGAATTGAACCCAGGGCCTCATGCATGCAAGGCAAGCACTCTACCACTGAGCCACCTTCCCAGCCCAAGTGTCCTTTTCTTAATTAAGAGTTGGTGAGTGAACATCAGTTGCCTTTTCTCCAGCTGCGTATGTCCACAGCGTGACGGGGTCATAAAGATGTGATAATCGAGTCTCCCATTAATCTAGGGTTTTTCCATATTTACTCAGTATTTACTGAGGTGCCTACAGTCAGTTTTTCAAGTGCTATTCTAGGAACTGGTGATACCGTAGAAAACAAGAAATGCCTGACCCCTTCTAGTGGAGACAGTAAGTATGTAGTCAGACAGTTGGTAATAAGCAGAAAGAAAATGTTAAGGGAAAGCATCCATTGGGACATTTTGAGCAGTGGCTTCACTTTTGTTCTCTTATGATCTGTTGTTTGTGTTCTAGACACAGTAGCCGCATAGGAAAGATGGGAGAAGAATCCAATGATGATAAGAAGCCAACGACTAAATTTGAACTGGAGCGAGAAACAGAACTTCGCTTTGAGGTGGAGGCATCTCAGTCAGTTCAATTGGAGTTGTTGGTGGGCATGGCAGAGATCTTTGGCACGGAGCTGACCCGAAACAAGAAATTTACTTTTGATGCTGGTGCCAAGGTGGCAGTTTTCACTTGGCATGGCTGTTCTCTGCAGTTGAGTGGTCGCACGGAGGTGGCGTATGTCTCTAAGGACACTCCTATGTTGCTTTACCTCAACACTCACACAGCCTTGGAGCAGATGCGGAGGCAGGCGGAAAAGGAAGAGGAACGAGGCCCACGAGTGATGGTGGTGGGCCCCACCGATGTGGGCAAGTCTACAGTTTGCCGCCTGCTGCTCAACTATGCAGTGCGTCTGGGGCGTCGCCCTACTTATGTGGAGCTGGATGTAGGCCAGGGCTCTGTGTCCATCCCTGGTACCATGGGGGCCCTTTACATTGAGCGGCCAGCAGATGTTGAAGAAGGTTTCTCCATCCAGGCCCCTCTGGTCTATCATTTTGGCTCCACCACTCCTGGCACCAACATCAAGCTTTATAACAAGGTGAGAGTTAAGCCAAGGCTCAGGTGGATAGCAGGGTGGCTAATCAGGAGACAGGTTTAAACTGCAAATACAGGCTCAGAGGGCCACTCTGAGGCCTTATTCTAAGCAATTTATTAAATGTCTACATAGGATGTCAAACAGGAAGCAGAAACAATGTAAGATTAAATCCACTCTCTACTGTGTGAAAACCACAGGCATTAAAAATACCATTTTTCTGTGGTGGCATGGTGCCTGTAATCCCATCTAAAGGGAAGCCGAGATGAGAGGATCATGAGTTGGAGGCCACCTGCAGCTATATAGCAAGACATGCCTTAAAAAAAAAAATCAAGGCTGCTGGATGTTGGTGGCTCACACCTGTAATCCTAGCTACTCAGCAGGCTGAGATCTGAGGATTGAGGTTCAAAGCCAGCCTTGGAAGAAAAGTCCATGAGACTTAATCTCCAGTAAACAAAGAAAAAGCTGCAAGGGGTAGAGGAGCACTAGTCCTGAATAAAAAGAAGCTTAGGAATAGCATCCAGGCCCTCAGTTCAAGCCTTATACTGACCCCCTGTTTGCCTCCTTACGCCCCCCCCACCGAAAAAAAAAAAGGGTAAACAAGGCACTGGTGGCTCATGGCTGTAATCCTAGCTACTTAGGAGGATGAGATCTGAGGATCATGGTTCAAAGCCAGTCCAAGTAGGAAAGTCGGTGAGACTAATCTCGAATTAACCACCAGAAATCCGGAAGTGGGCCTGTGGTTCAAGTAGTGGAGCCCTAGCCTTGAGCTCTGAAGAGCTCAGGGACAGTGCCCAGGGCCCAGAGCTCAAGCCCCATGACTGACAAAATTTTTTTTTAAAGGCTAAACAAAATGAAAGAATACCTACAAAAAATAATTTTGGGTTAATTGAATGCTCAGGCAGGAACATTGAGAAGTTGAAGACAGGTGGGCTTATATAGTGAAACTCTTATATAAAAGCAAACAAAATACATGGGCTGAGTCTGAAGAGTATCTATGTGAGGGTCTGGGTTAGATCCCCAACTCTGCATAAAAACTTACTTTTCTTGTACCCAATACCCTTTATATGAAATCATCTTATTTCATTTTGTGGTTCTCATCATTCTTTTTCAGATTACATCACGCTTAGCAGATGTGTTCAACCAAAGGTGTGAAGTGAACCGAAGGGCATCTGTGAGTGGCTGTGTCATTAATACCTGTGGCTGGGTCAAGGGCTCTGGTTACCAGGCCTTGGTGCATGCAGCTTCAGCTTTTGAAGTGGATGTGGTTGTGGTTCTGGATCAAGAACGACTGTACAATGAACTGAAACGGGACCTGCCTCACTTCGTACGCACCGTACTGCTCCCTAAGTCTGGGGGTGTGGTAGAGCGCTCCAAGGACTTCAGGCGGGAATGTAGGGATGAACGTATCCGCGAGTATTTCTACGGATTCCGGGGCTGTTTTTATCCTCATGCCTTTAATGTCAAATTTTCAGATGTGAAAATTTATAAAGTGGGGGCACCCACCATCCCAGACTCCTGTTTACCTTTAGGCATGTCTCAGGAAGACAATCAGCTCAAGCTGGTACCTGTTACACCTGGCCGAGATATGGTGCACCATCTACTGAGTGTTAGCACTGCTGAGGGCACAGAAGAGAACCTTTCTGAGACAAGTGTGGCTGGCTTCATTGTGGTGACCAGTGTGGATCTGGAGCATCAGGTGTTTACTGTCCTGTCTCCAGCCCCCCGCCCACTGCCAAAGAACTTCCTCCTTATCATGGATATCCGATTCATGGATCTCAAGTAGAAATCAGCACAAAGCCTTGTATTCCAGGGCATAGAGATCTTCTAGCCATCACCAAGAGCAGATGGACTGAGATGATGATGATCTGAGAGACCAGCTGACTAGAAAACTGGATTCACTTACTATTTTCTTAGATCACTTAGGTTGTTACTTTGAACACTGGAGATCTCCATTTTTTTCTCTGCTACCATATGGATATATATATATTTTTTATCATTTTATAACCTACATATAGGACTTGCTGATTCATTTATCCAGGATGAAAGTGAATTAAATGGACTCCCTCCAATAAATTTGCAACTTAAAAATATTTTAATATATGGTTGTCATATCATGTTAGTTGGTATAATTTTAAAATGTTTAATTCTTCCCCTAAATAATATGCAAATCCTATGATTTATTGCTAAAAATCCTTAAGGGAGGGGAATGCCAAGCTTCTACTTATGAGCCAAGTGAGTTTTCATGATTGTTCCTTTTTGCTGTGCCCTTGGGTGATAAATCATTACAGTGCCGGGGTTAATAAGAGGAGTTAAGAATAATCTTGGGATGAGTTTAAGATCTAGTTTCCTCCCTGTTGCATTATCTTTCCAAGTCCTAAGTCAAAGTGTATCTCAAACCTTTAGGTGGCTTATAAGAAAAGAAATTGAAGAGGAAATATAAAGAGCTGAAGCTTTAGCTGTAGTTCAGTGGCAAAATGCTTTTGGCTAGCATGCTCAAGGCCCAGGGTTTCCTCCCTTCCCCCCACCCCCCCAATACAAATATCTAATACATGTTAAATGTCATTTCCTTTTTATTGTGTATGGTATGGGGTTTGAACTCAAGGCTTTCAGGCTGCTTGTCTTGCTTGGTTGGCACTCTAGCATTTTAGCCATACTCCTACTCTGGCATTTTGCTGCATAATTGAAGATAGAATCTCTTTGACTTTTCTCTCCTCTAAACCTCAGTCCTTCAAATCTCAGCTTCTTGAGTAGCTAGGATTAAAAGTGTGAGCCACTGGTGCCCTGATTCTTTGCTTTCGTTTTGTGCTGATCTTGAGACTTGAACTAAGGAACCGAGTGCTGTCCCTGAGCCTGTGTTGAGCCACAGTGCCATTTCTGGCCTTCTCTGAGTACAGTGGTTTATTAGTGGTAAGAGCCTCATAAGCCGCTTTGAACTGCAATCCTCAGCCTTCTGAGTAGCTGGGATCACAGGTGTGAACCATGGCCTCCTGCAGTATTTACATTTTAAAAACCAAAAAAAGTCATTGTTGGTTTAAATGCCATAAAGGATATTTTTCTTTGATGAGGTGAGCTAAAAGTGACTCTGTGGCTTGTCATTTGTAATCATGAGAAAATAAAGCAAAAGGAATTTGAAAAAAAGTACAAACTGCACTTTAAAAGTATCAGCCATATGCTGGTGGCTCAAGCCTGTAATTCTAGCTTTTCAGGAGGCTGAGATGTGAGGATCGCAGTCTGAAGTCAGACTGGGCAGGAAAGTCCGTGAGACTTATTTCCAATTAATCACAGAAAAAGCTGGATATGGCGCTGTAGCTCAAGTGGTAAAGTGTTGGCCTTGAGTAAAAGGAGCTTAGGTACATTTCCCAGGCCTAGAGTTCCAGCCCCAGGACTGGCAAATAAATAAAATGAAAAACCAGGTATTACTTGATCTCTACGTCAAAGTTTAACTCTAGCATAATGTTTTAAATATCCTTTTGTCTTAGTCTACATTTCACTCTGGACTACTTTTCAAAAGAGATTGGCAGTTTAAGTCTTTTTTTTTTTTTTTTTTGGGGGGGGGGTCCGGTCGTGGGCCCTGAACTCTGGGCCTGGGCGTTATCCCTCAGCTCTTCAGCTGAAGGCTAGAGTTCTACCCCTTGAACCACAGTGCCACTTCCGGCTTTTTTCTTTTTGCTTATGTGGTGCTGAGGAATCAAACCCAGGGTCTCATGCATGCAAGGCAAGCACTCTACCACTGAGCCACCTTCCCAGTCCCAGTTTAAGTCTTTTTTAAAAACAACTTTTTTAAAGTTATAAAAGTGTTACAAGTTACTAAGTTAGGTAACATTTGCATATTTTGAGTGAGTTTTGCTGGGGGAAATTTTCTGAACCCCCTGAGCAGTTTAAATCTTATGCTCTACTAATAGATCCTTTCCACAATATACTTTGCATGGTAATACAAGAATATGAATCTAAACCTTTGGATAATGACTGTCAGTGCTCATCTAGCTAAAACAAGCTGGCAACCCAGTTGTCTAAGGTTCCCAATAACCCAGAGGTGTTTGGTACCTCTTTTGCCAACCAGGCCTTTTGTCTTTAACACTGTCCAGCCAAAAGACATCCCTATTAGCCAGGTGCCAGTGGTTCAGGCTTGTAATCCTATCTACTCAGGAGGCTGCTATCTGGGGATTGCAGTTCGAAGACAGCTGGAACAAGAAAAGTGTGACTCTTATCTCCAGGGCTGGGAAGGTGGCTCAGTGGTAGAGCGCTTGCCTTGCATGCTCCAGGCCCTGGGTTCGATTCCTCAGCACCACATAAGCAAAAAAGAAGAAACCCGGAAGTGGCGCTGTGGCTCAAGTGGTAGAGCGCTAGCCTTGAGCTGAAGAGCTGAGGGACAGTGCCCAAGCTGAGTTCAGGCCCCATGACCGGACCCCCCCCCCAAAAAAAAGAGACTCTTATCTCCAATTAGTCATTAAAAAGCTGGAAATAGAGGTGTGGCTTAAGTGGTAGAACACCAGTCTTGAGTGGGAAAGCCAAGGGAGAGTTATAGGCCTTGACTTGAAGCCCCCTCCCCCCCCCAAAAAAAAATGCTGGGAGAAGGGCAGCATTGGTGAATAGAGAATGAAGGAGAAAGATGGTATTGTAGGATTGTCACCAGTGGCGGGATGAATTTGAGAGGGATACTCTGTGTGCATGTATTAAAGGTCACATGAAACCCTCCCCTCCCTGCCTTGTACAACTAATGTGTACTAACTAAAAATGCCTCGTTTGTGGAATGGAGGAAATGAAGAAAATTTAAAATCCAAGAAAAATATCCAGGAGGAAAATAGCATTGGACTTCATGTAGGAAACATGACTTCCAAGTAGAAAAAACTACAGAAATTATTCTATCTCAAATCTATAATTCATATGATCTCAAAGTTTACAAAAAGAAAAAAAATGTTGCAGTCCACGGTGGATTGAAGTTGGTGGCAAGAATGAAGTAGAACTGTTAATATAGAACATTTCGGAGGAGCCAGACAAGACCATAGAACACAGAAGGAAGATTTTTTTTTTTTTGCTAAACTATCAGCACTAGTTAAGCCATCAGCATTTGAAACCAGACGTGAGAATACAGGGTTCAGGCCGTGAGGGGCCTCGGACTTCTGAAGTAGCTGGTAGGCCGCTTTTTTTTTTTTTTAAGGATTACTTATGTAAGAGGACTGCTTTCAAATGAGAAATGACCAGGAGCTGAAAAAGGAGAGAACGTGTGGTTCTGCTGCAGGGTTCACAGCTGTCTTGGGCTAATGAGGGCGAAATGGATCGCTGCGATCTAGGGAGCGCTAGCAGCTCGCCAGGGACAGGAGCTATTCCAGTAGACCTTGGCAGCCGGTATTCCGCCAAGAGGAGGAGGTCAGGGATGCGGGCGGCCATTCTGGTGTAGCAGGGGACCGCCACTCATCTCGGATTGCAGGGAGATCTCGAGGCTGGCACTGCGGCTCCATGGCCCTCCCTTTTCCTTTTCCTCACCAGACCCGGGCAGGACCTCTGCTCTACACACTGGCTCTTCTAGGCCGGCGCCCCCTCCCTGTAGTGGCCAATCTCAGACTACTCCATCACCCAGGGATTCGGTGGGACCAGGGAACTTGCCCGTCTGAAGACTTCTCCAGCAAAACTATTTTAAATAAAGTTTTAGCCATTAAAAAAGAAAAAGAAAAAAGGGGGCGGAGGGAAGCCAATTTACCCCCACACTATTGGTCAGCGCTTGAAGGGACGAAGCAGGAAGACGAGGAGACCTGGCGTTGATTGGTTAGGTTAGAAGTCAGTCTGGACCATACCACTCTCTATTCGGAGGGGGTGTCGTAAACTCGAGAAGGCAGCCACTTGCTTCTGAGTACTCCCAGGTTGTACACGTATAATCTTCTTCCAAAAGTTTCTCCTTGGACATAGGAGAAATAGAAAATAAGACCAGGAGGCCTCGCCTGGCCATTGCCTCACTCGCGACCCCTGCGTAGTTGGCCAGTCCTCCTCCAGGTCGTCTGCGAAACCCGGCGGTCTTACGCGCGCGCTCCCGCGATCCTCTCCCCCCCTCCCCACCGCGTACGTATGGGCGGGCGCTGTGCTCCCCGCAGCCACTCAAAACGCGAGGTCGCCGCGGTCGCTCGGGTTCGCGCGCACGCCCCAGAGCGGCGTGGGGGTGGGGGTTGTGGGTGAATGGGTGTGTGAGCGGGGGCTGGCGCGGCGGCGCAAGCCGCATGAATGAGAGGAACGTGCCCCGCGCGAGACGTCGCGCGCTCCCGAGCTAGAGAGCCAATGGGATTGCCGAAAGGGCCCGAGACCCGGCACTGAGGCAACGGCCGCGCGCCGGCTCGAAGACGAGCGTCGGCGGGCCGGGAGCGCGCGGGAGCGGGGCGGGCGTGGAGCGTGCGGGGGCCGCGCGCTGCCTCTGCGAGGCCGGACGGCACTGCCGGGAGGCGGCGGCGGCGGCGGCGGCAGCGGCGGCGGCGACGACAACGACGGCGGTGGTGACGGAGGGGGGGGTGAGTACCGGAGACACCGGCCCCTGCGGAACCGGAAGTGCTGGGACACTGAGGTGGGAGGGGAGAGTGACCTCTAGGGAAGGGGGACCAAGGAGGGAGGAGAGGTTAAGGCCCCATCCCTGCCCCCCCCCCCCGGGGGCCGGGGTTATCCGACCGACTGCGGCGGCAGGACCCGAGGGCCCCGAGACAGACGACGAGCGGAGATCGCTGACCCAAGGGCCGCCTGGAGTCGGAGCGGGCTGCCCGGCTCCTGACCGGGTCCGAGGCCGGGACCTGGCACCCCGCCGCCGTTCCTTGGGGCCCCCGGCCCGAGGGGTGGCCCGCCGCAGCCCGCTCCCGGCGTCCTGATGGGTCCCGCCGGGCCCCGGCGCTGTCCGTTCCGTCCTTTCCGGCACCGCGGTGGTCACCTCTGCCCCGTGGCGTGGAGGCTCCTGCGCCCCAGCTCCGCTTCCCCTCGGCCCCCTCGGCGGCGGCTCCAGCCTCTTTACCTGCTCCCTCCTCCCCACCCGCTTCCTCCTCCGGCCCCCCCCCCCCCCCCCCGGGCTGCCGGCTCCCCGAGCCCAGGACCTCGTACTTTTCTGTTTTAAACGAGCAGA